GAATTCAAATTTGTAGCAATATAGTGCCCATTTATTCAGTATATGAATGCAAATGCAGAAATAACAGGATCACTAGGTCAAGTTACTCATTTTAGATGGTATATTTTTGAAGAATATATAAATATATCCATAATGAGAGTGAAATCTAGAGAAAACCTAAGATTTGGAAAAGGAGAAAACCATTAAGCTATAGTTAACTGTACAGAGGACTGTACATTATTTTTGTATTTAACTAGGATTTGGTTGTTTGAAAGTAACTAATAGTAAAGAATTACTTTAAATAATAAAAAATGGAATGTTACTTTGTAACTATAACTCTTAATTTTCAGGATTTGAAATTCAATTTTTCAAGCAGGTATTTCATGGTGTGTGTTTTTTTTTTCAAATATGTTATCATTGCTATTTGTTTTGGGAATGTTTTGTTTCCTTTTTTTGCATTTCCTTGAGCTATTTTGAACTTAGCAGAACCAGCTGGAATACATTTTGAAATAAATAAATACTGCAGGGGAATGCATGTCTTCTAGAAGCGGTCAGTTTACCACTGACAGGTGATAAACCTATCAGAACAAGACTATAACCTGAATGTTAGTTTGGACACAGGCTTCCTGCCAGAGAATCACAGGTGGCAGCTTTTCCGACAGCCATTCCATATATTTTATAACTCCCAAATTTATTATTGTCATGAACTGCATGTGGAGCAAACCTTTATGATATTTTGAAAGCTGCAGTGGCAAATGGCAGATATGCTTGTTGTTGCTGCTGTGTGCTTTGAAATTATTTCCGGTTTATAGTGACCCTAAGGCGAACATATCACAGGATTTTCCTGGCAAGATTTGTTCAGTGGCCGGGAGGGAGTGGGGTGGTGTTGCCTTTGCAACTCATTAAACCAGAAATACGACTATTATAATCACTTGCTGAGAGTAGCTGTTTGAGATTTACAGTGAAGAGGGTGCAGCAAATGCCGCCACATAAGTATCTGAACTCACTGCACAAGCTAAATTTTGGAACCATCGCACAGTCAGGGTTTTGCCAATTAAAAGTCCCTGATGACTTCATTATAGAGGTGGTGGTCTGGCAACTGATATTACACAATGTCTGTATTGGTTTGCTACTTTTTTGTCATAAAGTTCACAAGTTGCCTGATATTTGGTGCTAAATGACTCTTAAGGAATTGTGGTAGATGGCTGATGCTGTAAAGTGGTATTTAAATCTCTGCTCATTGGCTGTTTCTATTGTAGGCTGATAGCAAACTTGGACTCAGATAGTGGCATGTGTCTTCTTGTCATGCATTGCAATTACAGCAGGATAAGTGAGACTTATCAAATAGTGGCATTCCTCTTCTATTCTCCTGGGGAGGGATCTTTGGAAACCATTTCTTTTGCCAAAGGAGGTCATCAATATATTTGTGGTTGTAAAGGGAACACTTTCCAGGCTCTCTCCATTCGGGGGAGTGGCAGGAGACAAGCAATATCATGTGATGAGTCCTAGCCAAAGACACTCCTTGTCCTGCTGTAATTGCATTTGCCTGTCTCATGTGACAAACTATTCTTGCCTTGGGTTGCTGTGAGTTTTCCGAGCTATAGGGCCATGTTCCAGAAGCATTCTCTCCTGATGTTGCACCCACATCTCTGGCAGGCATCCTCAGAAGTTGTGAGGTTCTGCTCTTCATCTACAAAAACTATTATTGCCTTTCATCTACAAAAACTACAAAAAATAGAGGCCATTATACCACTCAGAGAAGAATAAGTTTTGCTAAGTAAAATATAAAGACATTTGCCAAACAGACAAATTAACAAATGAGACAAGCAGGTACCTCAGCTAGGCTATTCCACAAAACAAAAAGCTATTCAAAGACTCTGTGAAATTTATGACACATCCAGACTGATTGAAAAGTTCCAGAATTTGTTCTTATTCTTTCTGATTTTATATTGGATTAAAAGAAATCAAATTGCAGAGCTAATATAAAATGTTTCTGACCATACCAAGAACTGACAGAGAATATTCTGGGATAAACAAAATGTGTATGGCTGTCCAAAATAGAATTAGATAGAATAGGAACAAAATCAGGGACTTTCTGGTCTTTTCAATTAGTCTGGATAAACTCCAAGTCAAATGATGTCAGTAAGTTTTCAATATCACTATCAACAGAATTAAGAGAAGACAGGAGGACATAAATGATTATATAATTTCAGTAACTTCACATAATCCTACCCCATAAAAACCTGTGATTGGAAAGTCCCTGTGAAATCCTATGCCTTCTGGGCAGCTATGTTTCTCTTGAAACGTTTCTCTGGAAATGCTCACATACATCCTGCTCAGGCATGTAGCCCGGGGGGGGGGGCTTGAGGGGCTTCAGCCCCCCCCCAAATTCTCATGGTGGTTCGCGAAAAGGCCTTACTGGTGCATTATTTATATTCATATCATGATCTGATCACCATACTAAATATATCCCATATGCATGGGGGTATTGGGGTAATGATACAAAAGGTTTGCTAGGTAGACCCTCTTTCACTCAGACTCAGCCCCCCCCCGAAACCCAGCCCCCCCCGAAACCCCCCCTGAAAAAAATCAGCCCCCCCCCCCGAATCGAAATCCTGGCTACGGGCCTGATACTGCTTACCTGTTTATAGAGCTTTCCTATGAAAGAGTCCTGACTAAATCAGACTCCCTAATTGTTGGAAGTGAAGAAGCATCAAAAACGGGTATATAGAGCAATTAGGAGCAGAGGGAACCTGCAGTGCATGCCTGCTGTCTTGTTTTTACTTCTATTTTCTAGATCTGGGTAACCAAAGGTGTTTTGCTTCCTGTCTGCATGAAGAGGGCACATTCCCTTTCCTCCCTAAAATCTATAGTGTGATTTATTACCTTTTGTTTAAGAAGGGAGCACCACGAGGCTTCTCTGCCTCAGGATGTCACAGGGCCCTTCCAGAAAAGAGCCAAAATGCAAGCCCTGTCCAACTTTTATCTGAGGCATTCAAACGACGGCTCAGATAAAAGAGAATAAATTTTGGTCAAAGCAGGAGAATCCTGCTTTGTCCCTAATTAATTTGATAGCCCGTTAGCCCTGGGCCTTCCTGAAAGGTCTGGGTCTAATTGGGTATTGGGCCTGTGGGGACTGATTACTGGGGACCAGTCCCCAAACCCATCTCGCTTCTTCAGGCTATAGCCTCCCCCCCCCCCCCGCCCCAAAACCAGGCCAATAGAAAATCCCGAATGGTTGGTCCTGTCTCTCCAAGCTGCCTTGTGCATAGAATGATGTTCACGGGAGGTTTTGAGGGGGAGTTGAGGAGGGAAATTGCTTCCCCCCCCCCCCCCAGCTTCCTGGCACATCATTTCTACACACCAGGAGGTCTCAGGAGAGGAGGCATAGTGGCCCGGTAAGTTTTTATTTCATTTTCAAAGCCAGTGTAGAAATTACCACTCTGGCATGGGGACACCCCCCCCCCCAAGTCCAGTTCTTTTGGACACCCATGGAGATATTAACCCCCTTCAAAGCAGGTTTAAGCCCTGTCCATACAGACATGAGAGTCAGGATTAGGGACTCTTCTACCAAAGTTAGGTAACTTTTATTTGGTACTGTTCCATTATCCGAGTGGACTCCAAAAGGGGGCCTAGACAGAGAAGGATAGTCCATTTTATGAGGGAGAGAAGTCGTTTTTGCTGGTTATTCCCCCTCCCCCCTTCACATTTCATAAATGTGAGTTGTTTCCACAATGGGGGCATGGCTGGGGGGAATAACAGGAATATAGGGGGAATGGTTTTACTCTTTCAACCCCCTTCCCCCCCCATAAAGTGGACTATCCTCCTCTGTTTAGCTCCTTCTAGTGGTCCCCACCTGGGTAATGAAACAGTACCCTTTTGGGTCTATCAATTCTTTTATACAAGTTGTATTACTTACAACAATAAAAGTAAGAGTTTTTTTTTACCTTTTTAACCTTACAAGAGCATTCTGCATATTTTCTCTTCTGTTTCCTACCATAAACTTATATATCGCACTGGCTATACTACACTATGTTTTGCTATAGATACCAAGTATTCCTCCTACACTAATCACATGGAAAAGTTGGATATATAGAAAGCCTTTTCAGGTTAATGTTCTCTGTTTATAGTCATTCAAAAGATGTGGTCAAGAAATCATCTCTGACAAAGATTAAATATTCAAGTTCACAATCTCTAGATGCATAAGGAAGATTCTTGTCAACAGCCTTTTGTGTCTCATAATTCAGAGTTACTTAGTGATATATAGATCAAAAATGTAATATGCACAACAACTTTGCTACGTTCTTGGCTTGCATTCCTGAGGAGTTATTTTTTACTACTAGAAGTTGTACATTACATTTCTAAAGTACTGCCTGATAGAACTCTGAATGCTGAAAGTGAACACGATTGCCTTAGCAGTCCTTTGATTTCAGTGAAATTTATTTCACAATATGCTTGTAACAATACAGTTTAAAATGGCGGTGCTGGGATGGGGGTGGGGGGGACACAAGTGCTCTTTCTAAAAAATGCAGAGTGAAGAGTCACACATTTCCACCATAGTCCGTGGTGTCATCCACACTGACAATTTAATGCAGTTGAAACTAGCTTCAAAGTTGTGGCTAGATGACAATCTTCCACAAAAGCATGCAAAAAAGCCCTTAATGTACATCAGTGCTCTGTTGTTTGTATAATAACCATCCACACCTCAAACTGGTTCCAGGATTCCCTATGTAAACATTAACACAGTAAAACCACTTTCTTCAATACTGGTTTCCCATTGCATTAAATAGCCAGTGTAGATGGGCTTAAGGCAGTGTGAGCAAAGTCGAGCCCATTAGTCATATGAGGTTTTAAGGGCTTTTTGAGACACTGGAGACCCCAAATTGCTTTGTCCAGACCCTGCTCTAAAATCTGAAGCCATCCTAAAAGATATGGCTGTAATGTATTGTGTGTTTTAAACATTTTGTAAATAAATTAAACCCATTGATAAGCCAAAGCTAAGGTGATCATCTTGATCCTACCTGTGGATATGGTGATGTCCTAGATTTTGACTTGGTGCTTGCGAGACGTGCTTTGCTGCCCTTCCTGTTGTCAGTTATAGTTGGAGTTGAGTTTGCATATGGAAATGACGGCTTTGTAGCTGAAACCTGATCCAGCGAAAGTTGTAGTCCTTTGTATTCTGTATCCCTGAAGAAAAGACATGAATTCTATTTAATATCACCTAGGACAACCAGTTCTAAATTTTCATCGGACATGCGTATCACTTTCTGAACTACAGAAGAAAAGAGGGGGATCCACCAATGGAAGAATGAAAAGAGAGGAGGAGGCCTGAAAGGTGAATCTGGTGCTGCTTCAGCCCAAGGGATGTTAAAGGGATGGCATCTTCCTCGGGTCTAACTGAAACAGTGGCCGGATTCATGTTATTATTGTTATTTCAGGCATTTATATCCCGTCCTACTTACCCCCCCCCCCCCGCCCGGGGGGGGGGGGGACTCAGGGCAGCTCACAACCGGCAACCATTAGATGCCAAACAAACAGTAACAATAAAATCACAATTAAAACAATAGTTAAAAACAAATTATAAACCTCCATTTATGTTGGTTCAATATACCATCACTTGGACTCTTTTCAGGAAAAACCAGCAGTGACAAGGCAGGCACATCTGCCAGCTCCATGCAATTTATTTCATCAGTGTTTTATTTCCTTCACATCAGCTGTGTCTGAAGTCTTTTTCTTCTTGCCCCCTTGCCTACACCACTATATATATGCGGACACCATGCATCCACCACTATTTTCAAGGAGTAGCTTAGACAATTTTACATGCATCTTAGCTGTCCTCAGTAGGAACTGGCAAAGTTAATCCCAGATCTAGGGATTGAAAATTCCCATAATCTTTTACCATTGGCCACACAGGCTACAGCTTCTAGAAGTTGATCCAAAACATCTGTAAGACCAATGTTCCCCACCTCTAAGTTTTACAATGCTCAGTGAATATTGTTCCAAGAGCACCTTTGAGGTTTCTGTGCCTCTTTGTTCTTTTCCAAGCTGCAGCTAAATGTAAAATCACATAAAGGAAATCTTCATCTAGACTGAATTATCTCAGATCATTTTACTTACTACAATATGGGTACTTCTTGGGCCATGCTTCTAGATAGGTTCAGCTGAAGAATCGTGCTTATGATCCGAAAACCAAGTGAGCTGGTAACTAAATGATGAGGTGGCAGTGAGCCTATTCCATCAATATGAAAAGACCTTTGAGGATACTTTCCATATTTGTAGATATGTTTCCAAAATCACAAGTTGTCACCTAATAAAATATGCTCTGCCTCCAGTTTAAAAGCTATAGCATTCCAACTCATAAAACTGTACTTACAAGAGTGCTGAGAGCGTTTGATTTTCTAATGTAGTGATAATGTGATAAATTTATCATCAGCAAGCTTGTTGTTCGCATACACAAATTGAGAAGTAGAGGAACTTGTGATAGCAGAAACACAATAGGGGTTCTTTTGAAACAACTATTGCTTGCATTAAAATTGTGATTACTGAATGAGCAACTATGTTGTACAATTCACTTTTGCTCGTAGCACTCCCAGGATTATAGATAAATTCAACAAACACGTACATTTACCCTAGTACGAAATTAGTCTATCAGTCTACTTTTCATTGGTTTTGTCACCAGATTCAAGGTTAATTCCTAAATGTTATTTCCAAGTAGAGTATGCCCACTGAATCAATTGTTGACATGAGTACACAGACAGGAAAATTTCTTTGATGTAGTGAATGTACTTTAAATGTGAATGCCAATATGATTCATGCCCATATATTTGAAACATTACCTCCACTGTCTTATCTTTTCATGAAATAGAAAAGAGATAAAGAAAAACTAATATGGTCCCTTTCATAGAACACAATTAGAACACTTTGATTCCACTTTAATAGTAATGGTAATAGTATATGATATCCTGTTCCCATTTAGGGAAGTTTCTATTTAAGGGTGCTCATTTTAAATTTTCTCTAGTGCTCACCAAACTACAATTTCCAGGATGCAACCATAACAGGTAAAGTGGAATCATAGTGTGTAGTGTGAAATGGCTCTATTCACAGAAAAGTCAAATGGAATCTCTTAATGAGCATAATAATAATAAATTAGTCAATCAGAGTAACACTCTCTCAAGCATTCTACTTAAATAGAAACCAACTGGATACCTAATCATCATCAAGCAGTGTAACTCGGTCATTTTGGTTATCCTCTTCTGAACCTTTTCCAGCTGCATAGTATACTTCTTTCACTTGTGGAGGTGAATGGGGGCCCATTCAATCTACACAATTATAGTACTACATTGCGGTTTAAAAGTCATGGCAACATCCAACAGAATCCTAAGATTTGTAGTTTAAGAAAGGGGCATTTAAAATTCTCATCAGGAGAACTTGATAAGTGCTTCACTAAACAACATGTTCCAGGTTGGCAGTTAAAGTGGGAAAAATAATCTATAATTGTGTAGTGTGACTGGGACCCACAACTATGCAAAATTATTGTATGCAGATTCTAACGCAAGCACATTTTGAGCATAATAAATCAAAAATTACAATATTTTGCACATACAAAGCATGATTTTATGTGCAAGAATTGCTGTTTTCTGCACAAAATAATAACATGCAAATGTTGCACAGAATAAGTCCCTAAATGTGAAAAAAATTGTTAATCCAACAGCCTTCTTGTCGAAGTTTCTGAACACTAAAAATACATGTATTTGGTCATTTTCTGAACATTTTTAATATCTTTCCATTCCCCAGAACTACTTACTACAATCCTAGCTCACTTGAAGCCAACTGAAATCCTATTGCTTTATACATCCTATTGGGGTTTTTTCAGTTTAATTTGGTTTTATTTCACCCTAATGAGCATCACTTTACATTGAGTTGCAATAAATCTCATTTGACATTCTACTGCATATTTTTTCATTCACTGAGATCCTTCTATTTCTCTTTGCAATATGATTTTGTTCTCAGCAACTTACATAATCTGATGTGACAAGCGAATTTAGTCACTCATTGTTAACTCCAGGACATTTATGAACAAATTAAAATAAAATGTTCCCAATGACCAGTAATGTGTACTTTAGGGATGGAAAGAATATTTATTTTCCCTTTTTTTTTAAAAAAAAAAGGGTTTCCTAACAGTCAAAAAGCCTTATTGGGAAAAATAATGGATGAATAAAAATCTGGCCAAATTTTCTCCCAATATGCAAATGGCCTGAAAAAATATCTGGGGGTTTTGTGCAAAAAAGCCCCTTTTTTCTGTGCAGAAAAATCTGTTTCTTTGCATAAACTTTTTTTTAGAAAAAAAGGGGTGGGGGTGGGGGGGTGGAAAAAAAAACCCTCACATGTTCCGTTACAGAGAATAATTGTTCCATAACATTTCAGAATGTTCAAATATGAGGGCAATACTTTGAAGAATTATTTGTTTTCTCCCATAGCAGGGTAAAAACTCCCATAATCATTCATTCTTCATATCAGAACAAAATGGTCAAGGATTTACACCCTAGCAAGAGTGCATTCAGATGCAGAGATGAATCTATATACCTCAGTGCAAAACATTTTTGTAAAGAGTCCTTTGAGAAGAAATTGGACATTTTTTCAAGGCATAATTGTTAAACAAAGCAAGAACAAACTTGAAATGATCCATTTTTAAGTATGTAGTTCTCCAACAGGCATCATATACTTCTGGTAGAAAGGGCTAGGTGATGGTTTGGTCATACACTGTATGTGAACTCAGGAAAAAACAAATCTTGAAATGACTAAAAATGTTGAACTCAGCTCCAGTTTTTGCTCTAATCTTTCTGCAGCTTTTTTTTTTGCTGTGGAACTGTACATATTTAATCAACAGCTGATAAATGCATTTTTAACAAAGGAGTTATTCATGGCACAACTTTGATCATACAATGAGCAGAGAGATCTTTGCCCACCACAAAATTGAAATACTGCAATAAGCCAAGAGCAGTGCGACATTACACTGTGATAAACCAGGCATCCTGTGGAAAAGTATCAGACCTAATTTGTACTATGCACTCCCAAAATCCATGAAAGGTTATTAATGTTCCTGTTCAAAAAGTTTGCTTTTTTAACCATGCACACCAGAATTATAATTAATCTGAATGTACAAATACTTCTGACTATTTGTCTGTGGGCACCAATATTTATTTCTGTAGGAAGGGAGACGGGACACAAAGAACATTTTGTAAAATAGCCTGACCCAGGTTGTTTGGCATGAAGCTACCTTCTTCCACCTCTGTTATTTAATTACTTGTATTCATAGCCTTGTTATCTCTAAGATTGCATTTAAAATACAGTTGGCACAACTAGTAGCCATAGTCTAATCTCCATGAATGTGTCTAACCTCAAAGCTGTGTGACTTTATGGCCACCACCACCACATGTGATTGCTACTTTCAGAATTTAATTAATGTAGAGCTGGGGAATGTGTGATCTTCTTATTGTTGTTGAACTGTAATTACCATAATTCCTATCCTAAGGTTTGATCCTAACTAGTTGGATTTGAGGTGGTAGAATGAGTGCAGCTACTTCATGTGGTAAAGAACATTAGTGACTCTTCCCTAAGATGATACCTGTCCTATAAAAACAATACTACGTCTCTTAATTTTCACATACAGGTCAAATTCTTCTGGAACATGCCCATACAGCCCAGAAAATTCACAACAACCCAGTGATTAAGGCCATGAAAGCCTTCAACAATGCACAAGTCAAACAGTTTTAGACCTGGGGGAAAAGCGACTCATTTTCCCTAACTTGTGCAGCTCACATTGTTATGTCCCAGTATTTTTAATGACTGAGCTCTCCTATAAGAACAAAGTTCACTGATTAATAGCTGTGCTGCTCCAGGAAAAGCAGAACTGAGAAGATGAGTTATTGCAGTAATCACCTATGTACCCAGGAGATTTGTCTCTGCATTTTTTGTATATTTTTTATTGTCCTTCCAGAAATGCATTCATTGGCAGACTGGAGACTCTTGCCCCAACAAAATCGCAGAAAAGGCAAAAAGACTGCTTAACTATGTGGCAGCTCAATCAGCAAGTTGAAATTCTAGCATGAAGCAACTGTAATGAGTGCTGATAGTGACAAATAGATATTTCAGTATCATTCAGGCTAATTAGTGTTACATATACATAG